TTTTTAATTTGTATTGAGTTTTATTAATAATTTGACGTACAAATGTATTTATTATGTTTAGATTTTTAGTAGTTGTCAAGCATTAATTAAATGGGCTTCTGACGTTGGGAGGAAGACTGGATTTGTCATTGTTATAAAGACATCAGATACGGGAGGTAATGGCAAAAAACCAAGACTTACCCTTGCTTATGAAAGAAGTGGTTATTATAGAGACAACAGGAAGATCAAGGGGAAACGATTAAGCTTGACAGGTTTTAAAAGGTGTGGATGTCCATTTCTATTAAGGGGGGAAAAATTACCTACAAATGATTAGTGAATGTAGCATGTCTTATGCGGAGTGCACAATCATCCGTCTGCTGAACATCTTGAAGGGCACTTATTTGCTGGCAAATTATCTAAGGAGGAAACATCCTTATTAGTTGACATGCCGAAGAGTATGGTGTGATCAAAAGAGATATTGGTTACATTGAACAAAGGGATGCCTTTAATGCGACAACAATGAAGACAATCTAAAACGCACGTCATCGACATCGAGTAGTACAGAGGGTGGGAAGATCATAGATGCAACAACTATTGGGGCAATTGTCGATTGAAAATTATGTTGACTGGCATTGATGTGATGATAGAGAGATGGTGACTGACTTGTTCTGGGCACACCCAGTTAGTTTGGAGTTGTTACGTGCTTTGGTATTGGTTAGAACATAAACAGAATTCAATGAACAATTTTCCAATCTCAAGACTGAATTTAGTATGTATCCTGAAGCTATTAAGTATGTTACTACCAATTGGTTAGATCCGTACAAGGAAAAATTTGTTGCAGCTTGGACAGACAGTAGTATGCATTTCGAAAATACTATTACAAACAGGTAAATTATGGTCATTGTATTTATGAATTGCTATAATTCTTTGATTTTTATATTAAATACCAAAATATACAAACTTGTAGGGCGGAGATTCCCATGCTAAATTGAAGAGGCAACTTGGATCAAGTCAAGGAAGTTTTGAGACATCTTGGACCAAAATACACAATTTGTTAGAGTTGTAGCATGCAGACATTAAAGCCTCATTTCAGCAGAGTTTGATTGTAGTCCAACACAACTACACACCTACTAAGTTCACTGAGTTACGTGGTTTTATTTCAATTTGTAGTTTGGACAAAATATTGGTAGAGTCAAAAACATCGAACAGTGTGGGAATAGATATTGCTGCATGTGGCTGCATTTTGCGACGTACACATTGGTTGCTATGTGCACATGAAATAGCTAAGTATTTTCAACAAGGTCAACCAATTCCCCTCTCATACGTAAATCCTCATTGGAGGAAGTTAGATATGCTTCTAGTTTCAGAAAGTGCTTTTGTGGAGTTGGATTGCAAAACAAAGACTGATTTTTTTATTGAGAAATTCGAAACGATTGACCAGACGCAACAAATGATCCTTCTGAAGAAGTTGAGGGAGTTAATTAGTCCAGACATTACATTTTTTATGGAACCTGAACTCAAGACTGACACGCGAGGGAGGGGCCGAGGTCGCGGTCGTGGTCAATTCAAAATCGATATGTCTAATAAACGCAAGCCATCTGTGTTTGAGTTTGTACTATCTAGGGAAGATAGTTATTCACAGGGTGTTACCATCTCAGTTGCACCAGTTTGTAAGTAAGTGCAATGGAAGAAGGCAAAAAAAGATAATGTATGTAATTACATAAAACTTGTAACTATGTACAAAATATATTTTAATAGTTTTTCAGCCTCATTTTAATTATTTCATATATCCATTGCTGTATATTTATGATGTAGGTTTGTATGACGCAGTCAACAAATCGTATCTCTTACTTCGAACAATTTCCGGAGAAGTTAAAACCATATATCCGTCACATAAAAGATGTACAAGCAGATGGCAAATGTGGTTTCAGGGCAATAGCTAGATTGATTGGTTTAGGTGAAGATAATTGGCAACAAGTTAGGCGTAACTTATTGACTGAGTTGTATTCGAATGTAGTGCACTACGTGCAACTATTTGGTTCACAAGAAAGGGTTGATGAACTTAACTCTATCTTATCCTACTTCGAACCTAGTCCTGGATTTAATCATTGGATGACTATGCCCGACATGGGCCATTTGATAGCATCATACTACTGAGTCGTTTTTTAGCATTTATCCATGCAACAATGCTTGACGTTTTTACCACTTAGAATGATACTGATTGTAACACTTGATCGAAGAGATATCTGCATAGGAATTGTAAATGGAAACCATTTTGTGCAGGTAACTACCGAGCGTACTTACATTATTACCATGTCTTATTTTATAATTATATTTATTGATTTCTTTGTTATAGGTTTATCTGCAACCTGGTCATCTAGGACCTTCGACAACAAATAATTGGATTCGTTTTCATCACCTGTGTTCTAGTGGATGGGAGAAAGCATACACTATCCATATTTAGCAATTTTGCACTCTTATTAGCCCTAACGTAATAACTACCGAAACGATCGATATAGAAGAATTGTGATAACGTGTTTGATTGATGGATGCAAACAAAGACAGATTTTATGGATGCTTTTATGGATATTAGTACACTTGATTTTGCTATGAAATATTTTATGGAAACTTTTTATGTTTGATTTTATAGATGTGTGTTTGATTTATGGATGTTTTTTTATCGAACTGGATTAATTCAAATTCGTTAACATTGTATTACCGAACAGGCCCAAATTATCATTTAGAACAAAGTGGCTCTGTAAATGTATAGCAACAGAACGCTAGACAAATCTATTTTTTCTAGCAACATAACACCGAAAAAATGTAATTTATCTACTTTTGTGTGACTGACCAGACAATTCACAGTGGGCTCCACTGACTTTGTTGTGAAGCAAATTGAATTATCCAATTGTATGGCAACATAATGTTGGGAAAAAATAGTTTGTCTGGTAACATGACACTGAAGTAATTAAAATTCACTAGCATTTTATTATCGAACAGGCCCAACACAAATTATTACCACATTATTTGGAAGGAAGTGGCTCTGTAAATGTATAGCAACAAAAGGCTAGACAAAATAATTTATTCTGGCATTATAGCACCGAATTTTTGTAAATTGTTTCGCATTGTGTGACCGAACAAGAACTTCAATGTGGACTCTACTGGCTTTGTTGGGAAGCGAACTGAAATTATCCAATTGAATGGTAACATAATGTTGGGAAACAAAATTTTATCCGGTAACATGGAACTAGAGTAATTCAAATTGTTTAGCATTGTATTACCGAACAGGCCTAGTACAAATAAAAGCACATTTTTTAGGATAAAGTGTCTCTGGAAATATGTAGCAACTAAATATTGGAGGGATCTATCGTTTCCGGCAACTGAACACCGGAATAATGGAAATTGTTTAGCAGTATGCCGCTGAACTGGCCTATAGCATTGAAAAAAACAATGTTACTTCCAGCAAATGGTACCATATCCCTCTCCAAAACACTTTAATATCATTACAATGCATTACAAACATTAACAAATCCATATGTTCACCAAAATAAGTTTTCATTGACATAAATATTGAATACAAAACAGATGTGAAATTGTTTAAAATTCTTACAAAAGTATGACAATTCATTGCTTGTCCAACCAAACATCCAGTTTACAAAAGATCCAAGGCATCCACAAAAATTATGCCATTAGGGAAAAGTATATCCCAAATTCTGTACAGGCTAGGCATTCACAAAAACTATGTCATTAAAAAGAAAAAACTAAATCCCAAATTCTGTATGGGGCTAGGCATTCACAAAAACTATGCCATTTAAAAAAAAACTAGATCCCAACTCTCATGTACGGTCAACACAAAGCCATATCCCAAAATCTATATGGGCTAGACATTATGAAAAATTATGTCATCAAACAAAAACTAGATCCCAATCCTCATGTACGGTCCATCCTATGACGTTTACAATAGTAGACTTTATGCTCTATACATATTGATGTAGATCTCCAACTCTGTCCATCAAAAACTTCCAGCATCCGACCAATGGTTTCATACAGCATGTCAGGGTGCAAGACACTCATCACGACCGAGTCTATGTACTGCAGCACCAACACTGAAAGCAGGATCATTACATTGTAAAAAAATTGATAAAAATCATACTTAGTGTTTGATTTATGGTGAACCACTTAAAAGTGAAAAAAGTTAATTCACAATTTGTTTACTCACTCAGGATCCATAGTAACATCATTCTCAGGACGTTGAACACGGGATCAAACTGAGAGTGATGCGTAGGATTTTGAATAACCTGGTGTAAAACATGAGCATACCACTCACGGTATCCCCGTACACATTTAGATGGGCGTTGCTGTACAGGCACACTACGAGTGTTAATGGACAACACATGATTCTCCCATTGTGCGCATATCGTGTCATAGTATTGATATATGATTCTGTACTGTTCTGGTTTACTACTTTGTGTAGCTCGAAAAAGAGAGAATGGTGCTAGTGGGATGGTTTGGACCCTACCAAACTGTCGCAAAACCCTATTGGGGTGATAAGGTTCAACAATATCACAGCATTTCAAACATCTAGTATAATATGCAACCTCATGAAGTGGATGGTGTGTCCTACATAAACGGTATGGATCCCACTTGATCTACAAATAGGCAATGCATAATGTTAGTTATGAAATCTTATTATTATTATTTTTTACAATATGACACTATTATAAAATGTCTAACCTCATTAGCACGTAACATGTCAAACTGCTCTCGTAATGTCTGTAAGTGGCCTTCTGTAAAACCTCCATCTCTCCATGGACTCCAATGACATACACAAGGTTGTTCATCAGAATAGGACAAATTTGGATGAGGCCTTCCTAAATGAAAATGCTCATAAATCCATACTTCTAATAGCTTCAACTAACCAATCTACTTAACGCTAGCCCTACTAGCAAGTCCTAATTGTCTATACAGAAATGCCAAAGCTGCAACACCCCATGCATATGAGCTAACAACATTAATGTCAGTCAACATGTGTAGGAAGCAACAGGTACTTGAGTCCCACTCTTGTCAGCGAAGAGGGTACAACCTAATAAATATAGCAAGTAAGCTCTCGCTGTGTATTCTATGAAATTTGCATCAACTGTATCATTAACTTCATGAAATCTAATTCGTAACCACTCTAGCTTCACGGATTGCTCACGAGATTGAACTAATTCTGCAAATGCATCATTCATTGGCACTCCCAAAGTAGCATTCACCAGTTCAGCAGTCTCATATCTTGTTAACTTAGGACATGACAGAGCCATGCTAGTGAATGGAATGCCAAGTATGGTCCGCACATCATCCAACGTGACAGTCATCTCACCATTTGGAATGTGAAATGTATTTGTCTCTGGATGCCACCTTTCAATGATGGCAGATATTGCCACTCTATTGCCATGCTGATATGTGTGATCAATAAGGACACTAAGACCAGAATGCTCAACCACATGTCTCCACCTAACATTTTCGACTGTTGGTGACATCCATGGCCACTTGGCAAGCTTTCAAGAACGATTCAAACATTTAAGAAGTCCTTGTTCCTGCATTTTACATAAAACATATAAATAATTTGAAGCATATAGTACATATGATTAGTTTATTGTTGAGAAAATCACAAAATACCTTTTTCTTCCAAACAGCAGCAACAACATGGCTATGGAAGCTAATTAGCAATGAAGGATCCTCTGGAGCACTTGGAACTGGTTTTGTGTTGTCATCATCCACACCAACATCGTCCTCTATGAGGTCAGCCTCTACACTAATATCATTATTGACATCATCATCCTCCACACCAATATCGTTGTCAACATAATCATTATTCACATCCACATGGTCATCCTTCTCTATAGGGACATTCACTTCCACTGGTTCAGGTTCTGTTTTCCTAGCACATCTTCTGTTGGATGCCGTTGGTCTCTTACATGAGACACCACTAACAATTTCTGTGTAAAAAAAAAAAATTAAACCAAATATCAGCAAAAACTCGATTATATTACATGATTGATATAAACAATATCAGGAAAGAAACCATAATTTCATAGATAACATTCAATTTAAAGAAAAAAATTTGAATGTGCAAATGTATAGAAAAGGCAAAAAATTCAAATTATAATGCAATTATGCATTTGATAATGTAGGCAAATAATAGTAAGGAACTTGGGCAAAGTGGGAAAATAATAGTATAGCAGTACCATACTTCTATTAAGCAAATTGTAAGAATTCAATTTGCAGAGTTTTGGAGGGGGAAAAATAAGTTGGGACTAATGATCTTGAAGTACAGCAAGGGGAAAAAAAATTTACGCAGCAGCTAAGTTTGGAAATGTGTTACTTTCATTTGTTTTGTTAATCTTGAAGCTAATCGAGTGGGTTTTATGGGTTGTGGTAGTTTATGCATTCCTATAATAATCAAAGATCATTGATAGAAATGGCTAATATGGCTAATATTGTGAGCAAAGTTTATAAGTTAAAAATTAAGATCATGTTGAAATTCGCCAATCTACATTATATTTCAAGAAGGAAGGCTGATATGGAAATGATGGAAATAGAGTGGAAAAATCAACAGAAACCCCAACAGTATTTTCCTCGAACCCTTTTATTTCCAGTAGAGATGAATCTCCTTGCTTTAGTCATTTATGAACATGTCTATGAAATATAGATATTGTAAAACCTAAGTTTTGTATATAATTATTTTTGGATAGATTAGTAATTAAATTAATTTATATGGGTCATTTAGTAATATCAAGGAATTAGGTACAAGATGGTATTATAATTTCTATAACATAGATGGGTAATTTTGCAATTTTGAGAAACTAGGTTAATAAACCCACATGTTTTGCTTCAAGTCTGGGAGAAGAACATAAATACAGAGGATTCAGGAGGTTTTTTTCGAAGGCTGCCGCAGGGTTTGAAAAAGAACAAAAAAAAAAAAAGAAAGAAAAAAAAGGGGGAAGATTCATAGAGTGGTGATTTTGATCTAATCATCTCTTGGAGGTAAAATTTTTAATGGTACTCCTATCTATTAATTTAGTTTCAATATAACAACGCATGATTTGTATGGGTAAATGTGAAAAAATAAACATATTTGTCTAATCTGATATTGGGTGTCGGTTTTGCCAAAATATGAATACGGTTGGTTGTTTTGGCACTTAAAAGAGGATTTCTTTAGACAGAGTATCTTGTATGTGGATTAGGTATGTGCATTTTGGGGCTGTTATGTGATAAGTAATTCTAATGGTGGTGCATTTGTAGGATACAAGCTTTGACTGCTAGCAACTATGGGTTTATATATGTAAAAAATAACAATAGAATAAAATAAGCCTTGAAGATTGCGGAAGCCTTATTTTGGGGTTTTGCAATTTACTTGTAGACTACAGGATTAGATTATTATATTTTAAAGAAAAGAATGATGGATGCATCATGGTGATCAATAATAATTGTTTATGTGGTGTAATGTTTATTAGGTTTGTGAGATTAAGGTGGATCTTGGTAATTTGAGATTAGCTTGGGAAATATTATTTTAGCTGTTTGAGGTAAGTAACCCTCTATCACTGTTGGTTCATTTTTATTCCTATTGAATTGTTTAAAATTATAAATATTTATTTATAGCCTTCTCATTCTCCTAAAATTAAAATATGGGTCAAGTATAAAACAACATCGGATATTATTATGAAAGTTATTTGAATATTTTGTGAAACTATTCGAAAAATTGTACCAAATGTTTATTCTGAAAATATCGAATATTTTATTTAAAAGTTGTGTATTGTTTGAATTATGAGCATCACTCTAGTCTGACAATGATTTGGACGCTAGCCAATGGGGGTTATCTATTGGCATAGAAACTAGTTTCTTTTGGAGCTTTACCACTGGCCTATGTGTGGTTCCGGGCCTTGTCACAGGCTAAGTGACCGTAGTCACCAAGACTTTGATTTTGTGAATCGCATCATTGTACCATCGATTTGAACAACGAAATTTCTGCGAATTATCTCATTGTCTTTTCAATTAGAATGTATTGCTACACTGTTTATTTTCAACTATGAAACCATCTTACAAAATAATTGTTATTTATTGAATTGTAGCAAAAATATATTTATTGGTTATCGACTATTTTTTTTTTGTATACTTGATCCAGCTAGCAGTGACGGTTGGTTATTTACTGGGCTGTCTAGCTTACCCTTATTTTTTTTTTTCCAGATTTTGAGGAGTAGAGCTGCACGGGGTATTTACTTGTGGGAGTGCCGAGAGTAGGACTATGATTTAAGTACTTGGATTATTATTTTGTCAGTGGATTATATTAGTGGACTTGGTGGACAATTTCATATGATAAGAATTATTTATTTTTATGGATTTTGGCATTATGATAATTGAAGATTTAATTTGAGTATTTTACATTGTTGGTTTATGTGATTGGACTCTTAGCCTTGCATGCTCACTTAAATGAGTGTGCGGCGTTGTCACGGAGCTTGGGGCGTGAAAATTTTGTGGTATCAGAGCTAGGTTGTAATTTTAAAGGTTGGTATAGAATAGTGGTGAGATTAGGTAGATGTAGGATTGGGAATGCTTATAATTTGGTATAATGTTAATTTTATTTACATGTTATATGGACTTAAGAATAGAATAAGGTGAGGTTTTATTATGGATGCATATAGGTTACAATGGAATATGAGGAGACATTGGCAAATAGGGCTAGTAATACACGCCAGGGTCAAACGAATCGATGGACTGGTAATAACAATCGGCGGGGGAATGTGACTAATAATGGTAGTGGTTCTCAAGTAGTTAGAGGAAATCAAGGGCAAGAGTTAGGACAATAAGAACAAGCTGCAATCCCCAATCCAGTTGGAATGGTTCAAGTGCTTCAGACTTTGGCTGGGGTGGTGCAACAACAAACCACCATAGGGAATAACTTGACTGGACTTATGGAGCAACAACAATGGATGCAGCCAGGTGTTGGGCCACAACCGAGGCCACGTTGTAACATTACTGAGTTTAAGAAGATAGCCTTGGCATTTGATGGAGCCATAGATCCTTTGGAGGCTGAAAAATAGTTGACATAAATGGAAAAGTTGTTTCCTGTTTTTGAGTGTATGGATGATTAGAAGGTGAACTATGCTAGGTTTATGCTACAAGGGATAGCTAATGATTGGTGGCAAATGGAGAAGCACATACATGAGCATGATGCCAACCCCTATATATGGGAAAGGTTTAAGAATGCATTAAATGAGAAAATACTTCCCAAGGAGTGTTCGTCTACAAAAACAGAGGGAATTTTTGAAGTTGGAGCAAGGAAATAAAACAGTTGCAGAATATGAAGCCGAGTTTATGAAGTTGTCTAAATTTGCAACAGCATTTGAAGCAGAAGAGGATAGCAAAGCACGAAAGTTCAAAGGTGGGCTAAGAACGAACATTATGCAATAGGTGGTTCCTTTCGAGTTACCTACTTTTGGAGCAGTGTTAAATAAGACATTGTTGGTTGAGAGTGGCCTCACTAAAGCCCAAGAAGAGAAAAAAAAGGGAATTATAAGAAGAGACCTAGTTCTTCCAACTTTTAAACTAACAACAATTCGAAGGGCAATGCTAAGAGACAAAACACTTCTTCAGTTGGGAGTTGGGGAAGTCGAATTGTGGGTGGTAGTGTTGATAAGCAGAGTGATTGGATAGAATGCACTAGATGTAATGGGTTCCATCGGGATAGTGAGTGTCGTTGGAATACTGGGGCTTATTTCTCCTACGGGCAACAGGGGCACAGGATTGTTGATTGCCCTAACCGGAAGGGGCGTGAGACTGAACAAAAAGCATGGACAAGTAAAGGAACATCTCTTGAGGAAATCAAAAGAAAAATGGAGGTCATAAACCAAAGACTCAGGGCCGAGTGTATGCACTCACGCAACAAGATGTTCAGACTTCTAACACGGTGGTGTCAGGTACTGTTTTAGTGTCTTTTGTTTATGCACACGTGTTATTTGATTCTGGCACTACAAATTCATTTGTGTCTATGGGATTTATTGAGAAACATGGATGGAAATGTGTCTCTAGAGAGATCAACTTATGTGTTGAAACCCCAATAGGAGGTGTTATGGTTGTTGACTTAATTTGCAAATCTCATGTGGTTAGTATAGATGACAGGAGATTGCTTGTGGACTTGACTATTTTAGATATGCGGGACTTTGACATAATTCTCAAAATGGATTGGTTGGCAACCAATTATGCTTCTGTTGATTGCCGAGGAAAAAGGGTAGTGTTTCAGATTCCTGATCAACTAGAATTTTGTTTTGTGGGTAGTAGAGTTAACACTCCTCCTCTAGTAATCTTAGCTTTAGAAGCTAGACGATTTTTAAGGAATGGTTGTGAGGGCTATTTAGCTTTTGTGAGAGATATCCGTGAGATTGAATTGAAGTTAGAGGATATTCTAGTTGTGAAGGAATTTCCCGATGTTTTTCCTGAAGACTTACCAGGGTTGCCACCAGATAGAGAGATTAAGTTTTCTATCAAATTAATTCCTGGCACAGGTCCTATCTCCAAGGTTCCGTATCAGATGGCCCCAGCAGAGTTGAAAGAGTTGAAGGAACATGTCACACCCTCAACATAAACCCATAATAACCATAACATTAACATGCATTTATAAAAGAAAATGAATCATTTGAGTTATACATCAGAGTATTCTTATTGAAAGACATCACATGTAACATCCTGCAACATCAAAATAAATGCCCTAAGGGCTTACATCTTTCCAAGCTAACACTTGGACACAAAAAGGATGAGTACTAACTCATTTACAAGATAAGCCCTAGGCTTGAATGTTTACATGAAATATCAAAATAACAAAATAAAACCTATAACTAAAGACAAGTCTTCAAATCCCAAACATCAAATCCTTCCAGGCTAAGTCCGTGGAGGTAGCTTATCACCTGAACCTGAAAATGATGTTCCCATAAAGGGTGAGCCACAGCCCAATAGAAAAATACTAAACCAAATATAAGCATTGAATAAAACTATAGCATTCAATAGATGGTTAACCAAGATAATCAATTTTATCATTAAACAGTCTCATGACACTAATGTCAAAGACACATTTCACTTTCCATCATTAACAACATGGCTCAGAACCTGGCCAAACTTACAACAGTGAATTATATATCATATGTTCACATCCTTCGAATATCAACAAACACATGAGACTCAAGCTCAAATCAAAACACTTCATACTTCCAGATTGATACACATTTTAGTGCTGTATCAATAAAAACACTTCTATATAAATAAGCACACATAAAAGTAA